ACATGGGGGTGGGCGGGGTTGTCACCCGATTTCACCCATTTTCTCACCGTAGGTAGAGGTGCTAAAAACTTTTGCTCCCAGTGAATTTTGTTATTATAGCTTTAGTAGTTTAGGAGATATGCCATTAAACCTATTAGGAGCGGGACCACGCCCACTTAAAAAAAAATTTTAATTGCAGATGCCCCTCCCTAATGTGATCTCGTGTACCAAATAAAAGTGTTGTATCTTATTGCGGAGCTTAGTTATGACAATTTATTTGTTTTTGATTAATGGCGTTTTGTGGGCGTGGCAGTGGTCCGATTACGCCCATCTGCAATACCAACCGTCTTACTGTACCAAGAAACATGTGTACAAAGTTTCATAAAGATATCTCAATTTTTACTCAAGTTACAGCTTGCACGGACGGACAGACAGTCACCCGGATTTCAACTCGTCTCTTCATCCTGATCATTTATATATACATAACCCTATATCTAAGTCGATTATTTTTATGTGATACAAACAACCGTTAGGTGAACAAAATTATTATACTCTGTAGCAACATGTTGCGAGAGTATAAAAAAGTAATAGTACTTTAGAAAGAGAGGTGCAAGAATTAAAAAAACAATTAGGAAAAAAAGAAAAAGAGATTAAGGCCCTAAAAAAAAACAGTTTGCCTATTGAAAAAAATGAGAATAGGCATATTGCTGCATGTGTGAGGAATAGTTTGACAAATAATAACCGTAATCTTCTCGGTAATAGATATGATAGGGAATTGAAAACCATAGCTCTGGGGGTTCACTTCTTATCAGCTCTAGCGTATAAATATTTAAAGCCCTATTTTCTTTGGCCATCACCAAGAACTTTGACACAGTTTATTTAGATTGGCCATGAAGTCCTGGTTGCACATATAGCTGCATATAAACTCTGGAACTCCGTAGCCGTGGCTTTACGAGTGACCAGAAATACGTGTCAATTTGCTGCGATGAAATGTCTCTGAAGACCCATTTGCAGTATGATAGATATAGGGACTTAATTGTAGGCCTGGAGGATTATGGCGTATGAAAATCGTACCTCCAGAATTGCCTTCAAGTGTTTTAACACTATTGGTTTCAAGGGCATTAGGTTGGGGAGCCTTGGTCTCAACCGTTAGCATATTTTTTTGTGCATAAATAGGTCTTCACCCCTGCCATTTGTATGTGACAAGGGTCAATTTTGTGCATTTTGCTCGGGTTGTAGGAGTGACAGAGGATAGGCCATTTTCTTCATAGTTAATAGAGAGGAAATCGTGATTTTTTTACGATTCTCCTCATCTTATAAAAAGGCGCGAAAATTGTATGCAAAATACCAAGCATTTAGTAAGTTTTAAATGTCGTCTGCCAAAAATGGAGTGATATAATTCACCCTAGGATAACTCGGCTCAATCTAAGGCCTACAACTTTGAGAAATGGAAAAGTTGTGTCAATTAGCCTACAACAGGTTCTTCAGCAAACCACGGGTTGCTAGCTGCAATTGTTCGTCATTATATAGCTCCCGGAATTCTCAATATTTACTAAGTCTCCAAAACTCTTCCTTATATACCAACGAAATTGTTTTTTCTTTGATAAAATTATTAATAGATTGCAATAGTAGTAGGCTTGAGCCCTACCGGAATATAATGAACCTTGTTTCGGTAGTACAGGAAAAAAATTACCTTGTCTCCTAAGAAGCCGGGAATTTTTTACAAACATCTTTAAAAATTTACTGATCAGCATTAGGTCGTTATTATTCACGAATACATTTCTTTTATTAAGGAGATGGCTTCTAAAAATATTAAGGCGTTTTACGACATTTTGTGGAAGATTCTTGTCCACCCAAAGGTTTCGAATATATTAGAAACAAAGAAATCTTTGTCAAGACATACTTGAGGCCATTATTTCGCGACAGATTCGTAAGGGGGGCGGAAATAAACGCTAAGAACTACTCCGTACATGTTCTCAGGGCTTTTCCAAAGTCCTGCGGGCCTTAGGACCGTTAATTATGTGAGCGCTTTTTCTTGAAGTAAAATTCGTTCGATTTATTTTTGCGGCTATTATGTATTCAAAGTTTTTAAAACTCATAATTTGTATGAATCTATCCCTCGCCTTGAAGATGAAACTGATTCTCGTTTTCTTGTTTTCAATCGAAAAGAATATAACGACTGCAATCTGATGAACCCCCTTCAGACTTTATAAACTTCTTCGAAAAAATTAGAGGAAAATATTTTGCAGCAATTTGATTCTTGCTGTCATTGACGAAAGGTTTTCCAAATTTTATTTGAAAAAATGCAACACATTAGAGCCAGTTATTGCTGTGAGAATTCTCAGCCAGGGACGTTCTTTATATCCCTTTTTATTAGAATAAGGAACGTAACTTGTCTATTAAATTTTAAATAAAACAGACAAGCACACCTGCCTTTCAGCATGTGACAAATTTTTATTGGGGTTGCACACATGTAAAATTTGTCTTTGAAGTCCTTTGTCCGGTGTCTATCTGAAAAAAAATCTTCCATTAGTTGTCCTACACAACGTGATAGAAATTTTTCACATTTTGAAGTTGCTCAATTAATTATTAAAATAGGGAATGCACTTATATTCTTTTTATTAGGCACATTTTATTGATAGGTCCTACCCCACCCAACCATGCATCATTTGGAATTTTCTCAGGGTTTTTGTTAGATCTCCACTGTTGGCAATGCATGCATATAAAATGTATTTATATAATTATTGTAAAATGAACTTTTTAAATGTTTTTGTTTATTTATTATTAATAATTTTGTTATTTAGTTTTAAGGTATATGGGTGAAAATAGGCCTCCTGGGGAACCGAACACCCAAAAAAATCGGTAACGCGCCATTTGCATACCTCATGGTGGTGTGGAAAATGCATTATAGATATAAGGAAATGTACTAAAATCCAACGAAATAAAACATATTAGTTGGCACAGAAAAAATCATGTTTTTATTTAAACAAAGTATTTATATTAAGATGTTTAAATTGTTTCAATGAATGCAAATAGAGGCGTTGCAAATGAAGAAATTGCCCATGATTCTAACTTTTGTTGGTGTTGAGCACTATAATACTGGCCACATATTAGTTTTGGAAACAATTAGATGCACACTAAAACATTTACTCTGATAAAAGCAATTTGATCGTAGGAGTATGATAATTTACATATAAACAATTTTGTATCATTTAAAACGTAATGTTTGTTTCACTTTCCAAATCATTGTCATACATAAATCAGTTTCTAAATTTAAATCACTCAATCAAATTTAAATCTCGCAATCTAAAGAATCAGGACGTCTATTAATGAAATTATATCCTTCCAAAACGATATAAATATCATGCACATTGTGGGCGGGTTAAAATAGCTTTAGTTATTATTTATTATTCTATTCACTAATACACACCTGCATATTTTAAATTCTTGTGTGAGCAGTTTTATCAAGAGCAATTAGCATTAAATATTCACTATTTTACAAAGTTTGTGTTGCAAATTTTTAAACATTGCCCTCAGTTTCGTTGAATAAGCATTTTCTGCATCCCGTTATTTGACATAGTTGCCTAATTGCACCTTACATTTTTCTGTGGTGAATATTTATTAAGTTACCACAGTTAAAAAAAGGCATAAATATATATCGTAATTATTCTGAAATTTGCAAATAATAGCCGCTTTTTTAAGAACATATATTAAAATAAACTTATTTTATTTTGAAAACATATTAAAGTTTTACATATAATCAATATTTTTTGGACAACTTTTTCATAAATTAAAAGAAAATAGCAAGATGCAACCATTTTCCGGTTAAAAGTCGGCCATCTTGGCTATCAATAGAAACTCAACCCCAAGGCGGACTTGACGTTTCTCCATGGACCCCTTTCAGCTGTAGCATTGTTTACATCCATCAGCTGATTCTTTCTCTACTCCCCCTTTACGTTGATATTAACTGAACGATTGGAATAAAGTGCTTGCAAGGAAAGCTTTTTTATTTGACGAGGTATTCTTACGAAATAAAGCACGAGTTATTGTTTAAGCCATCTATGTATTCTCCGAAGAAATTATTCAGATCAGATCAATGTTGATTTTGACTTCCTTGTCTAGGAAGCTTTAGATAGACTGACGCTCTGCTTTTTCATTTCCCGTTTTAGCGGTAATTGATTTAGCTTTCGCTTGCTTCCTTTGCTGTATAAGCTCCCATTTTGTGTCAGATAACCAAATTTTACGGGTATGTTCTGGGTAATCGATATGTTGCTTTACGGCTTCACTGAAAATGTTTTTAATTGTTGATCAAATTTGCAATCGATAGTTGTTTAGAGCATTTGCAGCTATTTGGGGAGTGTATATTTTTTACATAGGACTTTGTAGCTTCCTGATGTTGAATTTTCTGAACTTGCGCTTGGTATGTTTTGTTTATTAGTATCGGGCCCATAAACTAAATTAATGTTTTCAGCCGCTTTGGCTGCTTTTTCGCTTTGATCAAAGAAAAATTGTAAAATATAGCGAATTTTCTCTTTGTTAGTGTCCATCTTTGACGAGCGCTCACAACGAACTGAGTAAATCAATCGAAAAACTGTCAAAGACAAACTTTTAGCACGAATAAACACGTTTTCAGCGCCGTATAGTATGACATGATGCGACACGTAACACTAGTACTATGGACAATAACGCCATCTCTTAGATAAAAACCGAACGAACTTTTTACTTGACCTAATATTTATGACTATTATTTAACAGTCCATTGATCAAACTCAAAGTAGAGTTTCAACGTAGGCGATTTATCTCGTAAATCGTTTCAATAATATCTTATATATGATGTTATAATAAACATAATTTACGCCCGTAGCCCTAATATATTAAAACTACAAAAATTAACCACCACAAAATCTATAAATACTTAAGCTAATGGATAACATGACTTGCCAGTGTACCTTATAGTACGAATTTCATTAAACAACCCCTCAATAAAATGCACATTTAAATTGCTTTTTAGCGGTTTCCTTTAATTGTTCTTGAACTTTTCGCTTAGTCAGGCTTTTCTAAAACTAAAAGAGTATAAATAAATCTCCACATAATTAAATGGCTAATGTACAATTTTTCAAATTCAATTAACCGGAGATTTCTCTATCTTTATATACAAGCATAGGTATGTCGTTTATATATATTATACATACGTTATTTATATATCATTTATTATTCTAAATCCTCTACGCAATAGCTGTAGACTGATTTATGCTGTTATTTGTGTGTTCCATTAATTATTTACGATTTCATAAAATTATTTGCTAACGTTATCGAGTTAATGTACATATGTTCTAATTATGTCTACTATTGTCTCAATTTAATCTTTTAGTTTATATCAGTGTAAGCCCTTGCTTGTACGCTTAATGAATAATTGTATATTTTGTAACCTCATTTTCTTGTTTCCTATCTACATAATTACATGATATAGTTTTTAGCCTATCCACCTTGAATATGAGTCATAGGCAACCGTATTGCATACATACTTGTATGAATATGTGCTAATGCAAAGAAAGCTTAAGTTTTTTAAATTTTAAAAGCCGCACCAATATTAGGTGCCGACCGAAGGAACATACTACTTTAAATAATTTTATGCTTTAAAACTCATTGATTTATTAAAAAAAAAAAAATTACTTTAAAGTAACTTTGGAATACAAAAAAGTTTGCTCCTGCCATAGAATGTTTTTGTTAAATTTATGTGAAATATGGGGAACGTTTAGTTCCAAGTTTAAAAAAATATCTTTATTCAAGCTCTGTTAAATATGGCCGACTGATTACAGCCAATATTTTAAATATGAAGACTATTATACAATGTCGCAATGAAATTTTAAAAAATTTAAGTCTAAAACATGAAGTTTTCGCAGCGTGCAATTTTTTTTCTAAATTTAGTCTTGAAATTTAATTTACATGAAATTTACTTTACAGAATTCTTAAATCGGTAAGACACGCAGCTAATTAAGTCCGACGCCATCTTTACCTAATTATCAATGTTAGTTTTGATACACTTTCTTCTTTAACCTGGAGAATGTATGAATGCAACACGAAATTCTCACGTTAGATGGAATCAAATCTTAATGTAATGTGTGTCAAAAGTAAAATATTATTGGTAGTAGTATTTTAAATATAATATCTACGCTTAAGAATATTTTTACACAAAGACGCAACGTATTATAGGAATTTTTGGTAATGAAAGCTTAAGTGATATAAAGAGATGATATAAATACATATAAAAAATAGTGATAACAACTCCCTAAAACTATTTAACAGTAAATAAAGTGCAAAAACAATAATAAATATAGACAAAGTATTTAATTGTATCTATGTACATATATCTGTATTTATCATGCTTACGCATGTATGCATGTAATTTATTAATGTGTATTTCAAAGCGCAGTTCATAAATATATTTCTTTCTTCACCTTAAACTAAGCAACTGCTTCGTCTTCACTACAAAACAAAAAGTTAATTGCCGTACTCAATCATCAACTGTGAAATCAATTCATGTTTTATATATTGCATAAACAATATTTCTAATATTTTATAGTAGTTCATTTCTTTATTGTGTTTCACGTTTAAGACGAATACTTGTAAGCGCTTTTTTGAAAGTAGAAGTTATCCTTAAATTGTAATAAGCACACATTTATTTGCAAATGTGTATACGTATTTAAATGAAAAATGCATCTTTTATATCCATACACATGTATTTTCTAATAATTGTGACCACTTATTAGAGCTAATATGTGTATTAGTATATATGCATTTTTCAATAATAATTTAAATAAAATATTGTAATAAACTGGTAAAAAAGTTTTTTCAAAATAAAAACATAAGTTAATAAAAAATTATGCACAAATATGCGTGTATATAGGTATATGAAATTTTTTTTATATATATAACACATATGTACTTATGTACATAGCAGAATGTGTATGCTACAGCAAAAATATAATGGACCTAATACATACATATATTTATATGTTCACTAGCAATGCATATATATATGTAAATGGATTTATGCACATGCCTTAACACATGTGTGAATTGGGGTAGCCACGTGCGTGTTTGAAGATGTGTTTAATATATTTTCTCGTACGTTATAGAACTTCATATTTTGTATTATTTGCTCACAAACTAGAGTATAAATATGAACGCATATTGATATATGTAGGTACATATCTAATGTGCCTATAAATGTATATGTATGTGTTTATTAGTATACATACATACACATATTTATGCATATGTGCTTCAATAACTATATAATTGCTTTATATTGTATTATATAATCGAAACAATATTCACTTGCCCTTAAAATGAGAAACTTACATATAAACCCTAACTATTATTATCTAAACAGTTTTAGTTATCCTAATGGTAGTCATCTGCAATTGGTATTTTTAATCATGTAATGTAGTCACGATTCTGAGTATATTCCTCATTATATCGGCCAGCTGGAAATTGAGATTTATTTAGTATAATGAGATTATATATTGTACTTGAGTACAGAACTTAAAAATATACTTTTAAGTGAAAAAATAATAATGGCAACCAAAATAATATAATACTACAATTCACTAATTCGCTTTATGTGAAATATGATATTGGTATGTATGTAGTATCTATACCATACAAGAAGTGTTTGTTGCTTACCATCTTCCATTAATATCACCGGAGTGTTTTCAGAGTTTGTGCTGGACACTGAATGTGGCATCATGCTAAACTCATCCTCCATAAGGAACGGCGGGTTCCATCGCGGCCGTGGTGTTGACCGATGAGGTACATTTGAAGCACCAGTGATCGGCGATGAATACAAACTTAGATTAGTCGGACTGATAACACCGGAAATGGTCGAGATTGAACTAGTGTAGCCAAGAATCTGTGAAAATTTTTTCTAATAAGTTAATAATACAATCGCTACGCTTAATGGAAAATTTGCATACCACACAATTAAAAAGGCGTTGCAATGATTTTTATGATGGTATAACCAATATTAAAAAAAAAAATTTAAAACAAATTACTACTGAAAAAATAACAGGATTGTTTTATTTGACCGTCATAAGCTAACGAAATAAATCTTAAAAATAAAACGCACTTAGCTTATTTCAGGTCAAACTGGTAATAGATACCATAGTATTTCGACGTAAGCAGGGACGGGCAACAGCAGGTCAGACGTCTTACGTGGGTATTGGTGGCGCCTCAATAGCATAGCATTCAGATAGGTAGTCTAACTATGGACGGGGGTACAAAAAGGGCTGGATCATGCGACCGGTGACGAGGATCATCCTGACTGGGGACCCTTAAATATCCCAGTTTAGAACGGAGCTTACGGATACCTGGCGCCTTTCGTAATAAGATAGCCTAACTGGATGTTCTAGTTGTTCCCAGAAGAGAGCAGCGTTCGTTACGAGCTCGAGAGTAGCCAGCGTGAGGACAGGAACGAAGGGGTGGAGACCAAAAAGGCCACGAATCATCGAACCACTATTGAAAAGTGGCGGGGAGATCAAGTACGGATTCACGAAGGTGAGAATCACGACTTAGAAACCTAACGTTTTTATGTTATGTTAAGGTGTGTTCCAAAGTAAACAGGACTTTTAAAAAAAATACAGAACAAATGATTTTATCGGCAAAATCTTATAAACAAAATTTTATATTCAAAAAAGTCTCCTTCTGCTTTAATACAGCTTTTTGCACGGTCCCAAAGCATGTCAAACGAGTGTTTTAGCTCGTTGCCCGGTATGGCCACCAGTATCCCCGTGCAAGCCTTTTGAATGGCCTCCACGTCTGCATAACGCTTTCCTTTCATCGGCAAATGCATTTTTCCGAAAAGGCAGAAGTCGCACGGTGCCATATCAGGTGAATACGGGGAGTGGTTGATTGTTAAAATGTGAGTTTTGGCCAAATAATCGGCCACAAGCGTTGATCGATGAGACGGCGCATTATCGTGCAACAAACGCCAACTTCCATCTTCGCGATATTCGGGCGAACACGTCGAATACGGCGCACCAAACGCCTCAAACTCCAAGGTAGAATACCGCATTAACGTTTTGGCCTGGTGGAACAAATTCTTTGTGGATAATACGCTTGGAATCATAAAAACAAATCAGCATTGTCTTCACTCTTGACTTCTCCAGGCGCGATTTTTCGGGTTTCGGCTCATTTCTCATTTATGTCCTCACGACCACTTTGGAAACGTTGAAACCACTCGTGCACTCTGCTACGGGATAGACAATAATCGCCATAAACTTGTTTCATCAATTGAAACGTTTCGGTAAAAGTTTTACCAATTTTAAAACAAAATTTAATGTTGGCTCTTTGTTCGAAGCTCATTTTCGCTCCGATGACAAAAACATACTGACACTTAAAACGCAATAACTTCACTCCCAATTGATTAAATGTCATGAAATTTTTACTGGAAATCGATAAAGGATAGCAGATTCTAACGCACTAGTCGACATATAGATGGCGCCACTAGAGTTTACATTGTTACTTTTTAACTACTTTGGAACGCACCTTGTAGCAACCATGACACAGCAGCAGTAAACTGGAAAACGGGCGCCACTTACCGGTTGGTGTCAGGCTATACAATACGCCATATGGTGAGGAGCAAGTATCATCTCAGCTGGTAAAAAAGTGGGTACGGGATAGCGAGGCATCCAAGTGCAGTGTCTCAAACGCTCACCATACAATCTGGGGCAACTCAGACGTCAATGACAGAGGTGAGAGTCTCTCTAATTACTTACTAGGCATTAATATAATATTATGTTGTATAATATAGGTAGTATGCCAACGTTTGTCACAAGAAACAAGCAGTACTAGATATCACTTATATTTTTTCTTTTCGGATCACGGATATATTGAATGTATTATTGAAGAAAGGGCAGACAGAGTCAACAATTTTAGGAAAACGAACTGTCAGGTGCACATGCAAGAGCTGAAAAAACATATTCCTATGATTCCGCCTTTTCAGCCCAAGAACAAGGAGGACCTCGACAAGTATTAGAGGTGGCTTGTCCAATAACACGTAGTAGGGGTAGAATTAGGCCCCAATGGTGGTTTCCCGAACTTAAAAAATTACGAAAAGACTGCAGGATGCATTTTAGTTTAGTTAATCTATCCCAAGGCGAGAAATATTAAGTCATACAAAACATAGGTTAGGAAAGCAAAAAAAAATTTCTTGGAAATCTTTTCGCAATGATACGGCGGAAGCGTCCCGACTTAGGAAAATAATCACACAATCGGTGCATAGCATTGGATACCTTCAGAAGCCAGACCACAGCCAGAGCAGGCACCACTCTACAATTATTGTAAAGATTTACTAGACGAACATGTTATAAATTTATCTGAGTCTTTGTGGAGTCAATCCCTGACTTGCTCAACAAGCCGGCAAACGGGACATAAATGGAGTATGGGGCGCACAAACCGACTATTAAAATTCAAAAGGACAAATATAAGAACTCTAGTATGAGTGCTAACAAGACTCTGTCTAATTAGTAGACATACCAGCAGACTAGGTGCACTAGGTGTAGAAGCTGTCAGGTGGTAGAAGTAGAGGACACTGTAAAATATCTTCTATGCGTATGTACCGTTTTACAGAACAAGTATGGAAGTTTTAAGTTCGGGTGAAGCCGAACATTTTATACTCTCGCAACTTGCTAGGATCAAAGCCCGGGAAATTACTTCAGGTGTTGGCAAAACTGTATATTAAAGGAAGTATTGATCCGATTCAACCAATTCTTGACACAAAAACATACTATTATCGAGAGTTTCATTTATTTATTTTATTATATGAATTTCAATTATATATCTTACACATTGACCTATTTTTTCGGTAAAAAGTCAACGATAGGCACTGGAGTCCACATAATCAGTACCTAGGGGCTTGAACAGTTTTGGTTCGATTTAGACAATTTTTGGTCACAATGTGGCATACTTTAAACGCATTATTCACGCAAAGTTTTGCCCCGATACAATCATTGTTGCTTGATTTGCATAGTGGAAAGTGAAAGAATCAGATGGAATTTAAAATGGTGTTATATGGGAAATAGGCGTGGTTGTAATCCGATTTCGCCCATTTTCACACTATAAAATAGAAATATGGGAAGAATGTTATGTAGCGTATGTATTTCGTCGAAATCGGTTAAGCAGATCCCAAGATATGTGTTTTCACCTAAAAGTGGTAGTTTTTAACAGTACCGTTATATGAGGAGTGGGGGTCGATAGAGGTGCTAAAACATTTGTTCTCAGTAAGTTTTGTTATTAAAGTTTTAGCGGTTTAGGAGATATGCACATTAAATCTAAAAGGGGCCACGCCAACTTTTTAAAAAAATTTAAACTGCAGGTGCTCTTCCCTAATGTTATCCTGTATACCAAAGTATAAAGTCTTGTATCTAATTGTGGAGCTTAGTTATGGCAATTTCTTTGTGGCATGGTTGGTATAATGGCGATTTGTGGGCGTGGCAGTGGTCCGACTACGCCCATATGCAATACAAACCGTCTTACTGTACCAAGTTTCATAAAGATATCTCAATTTTTACTTAGTTACAGCTTGCACAGACGGACAGACGGACGGACAGACAGTCACCCGGATTTCAACTCGCCTCTTCATCCTGATAATTTATATATATATTACCCTATATCTAACTCGATTAGTTTTAGGTGATACAAACAACCGTTGAGTGAACAAAATTATTATACTCTGTAGCAACAGATTGCGAGAGTATAAAAATAATCGCAACTATCGGTCGAGGGTTTTTAGACGACGACTCGGAAGTTGCTCACATAAAACTATTTGTACTGATGAACTTTACGGGTTGGTTCAGAGAGGAGACAATAGTGTGAGGGAACATTAGTTCCGGTGGTATCCCAATAGGCCTTCTATAGGCCTAGGTGCGCCGTCAGACAGCCCATCTACCTGACAACCTAGCTTATTTTTTGTTTTCGCTTAAGTAAGGATTTGGTTGGCAATGCGAGCAAGAACAGTCAGCTGATATTCAATTTATTTCAAAATGTCTGACATAAAGAAAGATAAGTTTGAATTTTTAAATTTGTAAACAGATTTCTAACATACCATCCAAATAACAAAAGTTTTAATTGTCTTAATTTTAACCCAAATCCCTTCTACACGGATCTGTATTTTTGGTTTGCTAAGATACTTTTTGATAACCAAATATAACTATGTTGACTAAGTCTTCCATACCAAATAAGCTTGACGTACTGGTCAAATAAAACACGTCTAGTAATACTTTTGTGGAAAGATCGCAAATAGCTGCCAATTTTTTATATAGAATAATAGTTTAAGCGCACAAATATTAATACAAAATAACAATTAGATAAATTTATAGAAAATTAAAGGTAGAAGCGATAAAAATTCGGACATGTATTTAAATTCAACCCGTAAACGAACTAATCTAACATGATCGGTCAGCTTAAATGACGGGGACTGCAGCATATGTATAGAACAATTTATGCGAAGATTATTGCGTTGCCTTGGTCCATGCCAAATTGTGTGAAGATACCTTGTCAAATAAAAAAGCTTTCTATACGAGGACTTGTTTTTGATCGGGCAGTTTGTATGAACAATTTACAAAGTAAACAAAAGAGTCATTAACCCCTTAAAATATAAACAAAGGGGAAATTCACCTTATTGGATGTAAACAAAAATGCTATTGGGCTAAATGTGAGCAAAGGTTTTTGACTTGGCTGAAGATAAACATAAGGGTCGTTGACCCCACAAATGTAAACAAAGGGGCCATTCACCTCATAAGATGTAAACAAAAAAACATTGAGCTAAATGTAAACAAATGTTGTTGACTTGGCTAAAGGTAAACAAAAGAGTCATGGACCCCATAAAATGTAAACAAAACGGATCATTGATCCCATAAAATAGAAACAAAAGGGTAATTTACCCCTTTAGTATAAACAAAAATGCACACGCTCTTTTTTTCCAAGAAACTGCTCAGTACTCGGAATAAGACATAGCACACTTTTTTTTTTTCCAAGAAACTGCTCATTACTCGGAATAAGACATAGCTCTCATACAAAGTGATCGATCAAAATCAAGTCCTTGTAAAAAAAAATTTTCTCACAATGTAAACAAAGGGGCCATTCACCTCGTAAGATGTAAACAAAAAAACATTGAGATAAATGTAAACAAATGTTGTTGACTTGGCTAAAGGTAAACGAAAGGGTCATGGACCCCATAAAATGTAAACAAAACGGATCATTGATCCCATAAAATTGAAACAAAAGGGTAATTTACCTTTTTAGTATAAACAAAAATGCACATGTTCTTTTTTTTCCAAGAAACTGCTCATTACTCGGAATAAGATATAGCTCTCATACAAAGTGATCGATCAAAATCATGTCCTTGTAAAGAAAGCTTCAGGACATTTGGGTATAGCTGCCATACAAAAGGACGGTCAAATTCATGTCCTTGTATGGAAAACATTTTATTTGACAAGAATTTTCACGACATTTGGCTTGATTTATTTACCAAGGCAACACCACAATCTACGAATATATTGTTCAGATCTGACCACTACGCATATAACTGCCACACAAACTGATCAATCAATATCAAGATAAAGCTATGCGCTCTTATGCTATAAGAGATGTCTCTGCGAAGGGTATTTGAGCTTCGATACAGCTAAATTTGTGTTTTTTCTAGTGTTTCGTATTTTCGAACGATATCTTCATGGTGTCTAAGGAAAAACAATTACAAGTTTTTTTTCATCCCCCTAGTGTAAAATGTATTTTCGAACTTGTCAAAAAATCTTTTCCGAGCTCAGAACATTATTATTTAACGTAAAAAAATATTTAATTAAATACAAATAATAATAAAAAAAATTATAATGTATACTTACTGGAGTTGTTTGTGAATGGAAATGATTGAAATACTCCCGACTGGTGGCTGGTGAGTACGACTGTGTGCCAATGCCACCAATTGTCGAGGATTTTGTGCTCCGTACAACGTCTATATGCCCTTGAGGACTTATCGGAGGGGGTGGCGAACTAGCCACTACAATATCAGTTGAACTACTACTGCTGTTATTGCTACGACTAGTAGCAGATGTGTTCGTTTGCATATTGGAACTGGGAACGGTAACCGTATCCGTTGTACTCGAAACCGAAGTAGTATTACCGTTACCACCACTAGTATTCGTAGATGTGTTCGCCGTCACGATTTGACCATTTGATTCACCGTGCTCGACTGTAGTATGTTGAGGATGTGATTGTGGGTGGCACCGAGTCTGATGTTGTTGATTTTGCTGATCCTGATGTGTTTGCTGATGCCTGGATGATTCCTTACCCGATTGATTAGAGTTTGGAGGGGTGGCAGATGATGGTGGTGATTCTACCATTGTCAAATCACCTGTGGACCTAATTATCGCAACTGGACGCGCCATTGGTGGCAAAGGTGGCGGAGGTAACATCGTACTGTACTGTTGATAATGAGAGGCTTGTACGGACGGCGCTGCGGAGGATAATTTTGTATTACGACTAGATGACGGTCCTCCTGTAGCAACCGTTTGTAACTGAAAGTGGCTTTGAAGATGTGGCGGGTGGTGAACTTCATTAATGTGAGTATTGCTATTTCCGGTTTCTTGGCAAACGTAGGTGACAAACTCGGACATATCATGTCCACTTACAACTTCGGGAGAATATTTTGAAATAGAAGCCGCTGCAGCTGCTGCAGCCGCGGCTGCAGCTACTGAAATTTGTGAACCATGGCTGTGTAAGTTTTGTTGGTGTTCATGGTGTTGAGATTGTTGCCTTTGGTGATGATGGTTATGCTGAGTACTACTGTCATCTGATGAACCATTTGAACTATTATGTAACTGATAGTACATTGCACCAGGGCTCACTGAATTTGTAACCAATGCAGACGTTACATTGTGTTGGATCAATACTAAAGGGAATTTTAAATAAATTAAAATTACAAATTTATGTAAATATATTCAATATGTAGTATTCGGTTTCGTTACAATTTAGAAAAATTACCTTCGTTCGATCGCACTTGACTCATATTCAATAATGAGCGATTTAGTGAAGGGGTATATCGCTGAAGCATTGATATATCGCTTCCTTGTATGTTAGCACCCGTCGAATCATTTGGACGCAATATCACAGAAAAACCACCACCGCTACCGTTATTTCCACCAACATCAGGTGGCGAAGTACATGTGTCAGTTTTACATACGGCTGCTCCTTGAGCTCGCAAGAGGGGTGATGGGGGTAAATGCATACTGCGTGGATCAACAAAGTCAACTATTTTCGGAAATAATTAAATAATATATTACAAAATTATTCAAAGCAAATTATTTTCTTTTCGTCAGATCCCTTACTACTATACCCAGCTGGAACAATCATAGAAGAGCCCGAGGCAGCTGATCGGCCGGAGTCCGTGTTTGCTAACATATTATTCGACGCTACCAAGCTACTAGGGACATCTACACCAACGCCAATTGACGGTGGTGGCAACTGATATGTGTTGCATTCATAGGCTCCGGTAGAATTTTCCATCTTAATATGGCTAGCATTTGCCGATAATAAATCATTACTTGCCTCATCAAGAATTGATGCTATACAATGAAAAAAATTTAACTTTTAGTTTTCTCCTCACATAGCTTCTTATTAACTCATTTATACATGATATAGATATATCTAAATGTTTTGACATAAATCAAGAATACTCCCACATAAAAATACATTAATCTGTAAACCTACCTTTAGAGAGGCTCCACAATTCCTTCGATGAAAAAACACCAGTAGCCAATATTATATCGTTACATATAACTCCATTGTAAGGATTATGGCTGTAACCTAATTTTATGTAAAACTTATTAGTTAATACTACTATTTCTTCTTTACAGAGAAAGTATTTATAGAATATAGTTCCTGAAATTAGTCCTCAAGCTTAATAACGCTAATATTCCGTCAAAAACATATGTAATGTTTATTAAAATAAGCCTATTTCATAAGAAAATCATTCGCTAGTTTTAAAAGTTGCGGAAACTATAAAAACAATACCTTTTCGTTCGTATATATACAACAAAACCTACTGATGAATATACAATCTGGCAGTTGCTAGATAAAAATTTCATAAGGCACAATTCATTAAATGGAAATCAACAAAAAATTACCTGAATACTCAAAAGCTAATATTAATTAAATATGTCCATGGCTTTTTTTATTTCCCACAAATCATAAAGAATATTTAATTTTAACAAAATTTAAAAATCAAACAAACGGTGTAATGGGCAACTACCAACAGTCGACGTGGAATATACAGCTCAGACTTTTAACCTTTCCGTAATATAGAAATGGATGATCCTAGCAAACGCATATATATATGTAGGTGTATTTAAGTTCTCCATACTGCTTTTATTACCTTTCTCTTTGCGTCCTTCACCATCTTTCTTTATTTTGTTCATATTGTTATTACTGCCATTTGTATTGCTATTGACGTTAACATGGGTGTGTTCGTTGTTATATGCGAATAGTGCCATTGATGTGGGCGGCGGCGACGGCGGAGTTGGGCTGTGAAGTGGATCATGTGTATTGATGAAATTCGCTAAATACAAGTCCAGTTCGCGAACAGATACATTTATGTGATAGGGATTTACACATAAGCTGGGATGTGTACATTCGGGATTTTTTTCCAGCCTTTCTCCATCGGTACTTTCAAGCGGTATCGCCTTAAAAAGTATGACCATTACCAAATCCAAGCGCCAAACCTTATCTGCCTGTCGTAAGCAGTCGATTCGTCGCATTTTTCCTTTTTGATCGGGATTCGAAAGTACGCAAATAGATTTTCGTTTACCGGTGATAGATTGCACGAAATCTTCTCGGCATTCCTGGGTAATATCTTTACGTAATTTGCCTAGTAACCGGGACGCCCACTTTTGTTTTACCTCCGCTTTTTCATTCTATTGCATAAATACACTTATATAGTTTTTCACACAAAAATTCATATCAATTGGAAAAATAAATGCAGTTAAAGAATTTCTCAATTAAAAATAACATCTCAATTAAAAAATATGTAAGTAAAGAAGTTTTTCTTAGTATTAGATTATATGCTTCGTCTAATAACGAAGAGCAAGAAGCTGCGGCGGAATTCAATGTTTTATTATAAATACATTTTAATGAAGATATGTATGTCGATTTGAAATTTAGCAAAGATAATTCAAATAGCCAATGGGATATTAATTTTGAACATTTTAATACAGTTTCATTCTGCCTTGTAAAGGGTGTTTTTTTAGAGGTATAGAACTTTAAATTGCAATAAAACAACGATGGATTATTTGATTGACATGAATTTTATTTATACGAAAGATAATCTTGTGGCATTACATTTTAAATATGATTTCTGGCATATGACCGCCACGGCTGGCTAGACGTTAAATTAGGCGGTCACCAAACGTGTCTTTCATTCAATAAATTGATTGCGGCACGAGCTGAGTGACATGTTGCGACGTATTGTTGGAACCACAGCTCCGGGACACCATGGTTGTTCAATTCAGGAATGAAAAATTTAGTAATCATGGCCATCATCGTTTTTGAAGAAGTTCGGACCAATGATTCCACCAGCCAATAAAGCGCACCAAATAGTCAGTTTTCTGGATGCAACGGTGTTTCGACATGAGGATTAGATTCACTCCAAATACAGTCGTTTTGTTTGTTGACGTAGCCAACCAGAAGTGCGCTTCATCTTAAATGAACGTAGTGCGCGATACGTATTCCGCACAGAACCATTATTTTCGAAATAAAATTGCACTATTTGCAAGCGTTGTTCAGACGTGAGTCTATTCATGATGAATTGCCAAACCAAACTGAGGATAAAAATCAGTACTGCCAACTTAAAGTTCTATACCTCAAAAAAAACACCCTTTATATTTAAGGCAGTTACATGAAACCAGCTTCGAATTTTGACGCCGGAATAATAACCTATGAATGTTATGAATGTATACGTTTCACTTACCATCCCGGACTTATGTATACTATCTTACTAATACTATCATTAAAAATGAATAGCTAATTTCGGATGCCGAAATCGTAATTTGTTATATTTCCTATTTCCAGGTGCTGATAAACTTTTACTATAACTTATTATTATTAATTAGAGTATAAAATAGTTCCGGCGTCCCGCACAACTACATTATAAGCAAGTAAAGCGAACTTAGCCCGGATGTAGCCGAACATTTTATACTCTCACAATTTTCAAAGATCAAAGCCGGGTAAATACTTTCAAAAAAACTTTATATTAAACAAGTAAGGCAGAGCTAAGTTCGGGTACTGGAAAGTTTACCGAAAAAGCAAAAATTTTTATATTAGGTATATGAAAAGATCAGTATATGGTGGTTTAGGGAAGATATGAACAGATTTAAACCTTCCTACTGTGATACTTTTTAATATACTCTAGTTTTGTTCCATAATATTTTAAGATTTTTTCATATTTCAAAGTCTCACAAAATATAGTTACCATTTCAATATTATAATATTTGGGAAATGTTGAAAATAAATCTTACTTGTAGTTCATCCTTGCAATGTCGCTCCTCCTCCAGTGACATACGTTTTTCATGTTTTTTGTAGTACTTTCGTTTGGCAGCTTGCAAATTGAACCATGAATATGAAAACGATTTGACAAACGGCAAGAGAGCCTCAATGAACGGATGAAATTCATCCTATGTTGACGTGTTTAGTAACACGGAATTCGTGAAAGAAACAAAATATTTCATAAATGCACTTGGCCTTCAAAATTTCAAAGTATTAATACCCATAAACAAAATATAATATATAAATGGCCCTGCAAGAAACAATTAGGTACAATCAAAGTAAAACGAAAATAAAGAATTCAAGAGAAATCTGAAGCAGTTAATTTATTATTATTTCCCTTCTTAACAGGTTAGAAAACTTTAGAGGGACTGTAACTATTAGGATTATTTTGTTGATATCGGCTCAGTACATTAGCGATGCGACCTAGGTATACTACACAGCTGTGGCCGCCGCTACATCCGGGATTGTTAAAGTAAAATTTAATTTTTAAATACAAAGGCACTTATGAATTTGTTAGCGAATATTTTAATGTGCTTAAAAATATCAAGAACCTAAGCATGGCCTAAATAGTAACTTTAATGCCATCAATAGGAAAATGCTATTAATTAATCGTATTGTTATAAGGTTAAGAAATATTTTAAAAAAAATCCACTCGACATATTGTAAACTAATTCCGTTTCTTGCAAGGATTTAAATTTACATTAATATATTCTACTAATTACTATAAAATGCAAAATAAGTACATTTACATATGCACAATTACTTACAATTTTATATAAAATAAATATGTGTAGGTATGTGCATATGAAAAAATATAACACACAGAGGTTTCTAAGTTCTTAAATGACTGAGTTTGATAATAGTTAAGCGTAGAAGAACAACTTATATATATACATAGTACAATATTTAAATGCGAATTAAGTAAAGTTTCATACGAGTGCACAAATACTTACATCGAACATGTAAAGCTAATAAATGCCTATAAGATCCAAATGCACATAAAAGCCAGTGAAATATTTAATAAAGGAAATAGGAAAATAAAATGGCAAACAAAACCAAATATAAATTCGATGATATATTATAATGAGCCAAGTCGCTCCAATAATATCCACATTGTTTGGAATAATTTAGTTCTGTTATATTTCAGCCCTACAAATCTGATTAGTCGAGCTTTTCACCTAATATGTTAAAATCATATGCTACACTATCGGCGGCTTGATGATTCGCAACAACAGCAGAACATGTGCAAGAAAGAAGCAGAAATAAATACCTGACCGGCAAGGTAACCAAAAAAATAAACATAAGTACATTCTAGATGTATGCAATACGTTATAATATATTTTCAAATTGGAATAATGTGGTAGGAATAATATATACTTGTAATATAATAATTCACAAGAAACATATTCAACAAATTCAAAGAATTTACCTAAAATATTGTTTTCATATTATTTGTAATATTAAAAACCGTAGTCTCTTTTAAGGAGGTATATGGCCACCAATTCTATCTGTCTATATAATTTAAAATACTTGTTCTCACCTACCATCTACTCCCAAAAAATATACATACCCAAATAGGAAGAATTGTGACACATGAAAGCTTATTTGTCAGCAACATAGAAATATCGTATCTCCTATTTAGGAGAATAGAGAATGAATAGAGAATGTGGAGCCGCGGCACCAAATACAAGAATGTTCCAATTTAAATTTTTAAATGAATGTATATGTATATATATATATATATATTTATCTATACACGAAAATATATAGGGAATAGCTCGTCCAAACAAACTTTCATAGGGCTAAGTTAAACGTGATCGACGAATGACTTTTTACCGCTGAAAAAACTAAGTCAATTAAGAGACTTAATTCTTATATCTATCATATTATTAAATGTAAGCGATAAATTTTAATTAAAATTTTAAGAAACATTTTTTTCATATTTTTTCTATATATAAATGATGTGTTTATTATAAAGTAACTATGTGTAAAGTTATATTTACAAATATTTACTACTAATGCAAGTGTTAAAGAAAATATTTTGAATCCAATCAGTATATTATATGTATGTATAATGTATTCAAAGAAAAAATTAAGAGAATTATAGTTATACATTGTTTATTCCATGCTTTAAAAAAACAACGCATAGGGACTATGTGAACCTTGAATTGTTAGACACATAAAAGCCCAAAAATTCTTACGAAGCACAAAAAGAAGGTTTATTGCATTTTATACCACTATAAATTTTTTTTGTAATTTTAAGTCCATTAAATAAATAGTGCAATTAATGACCACCAAAAGTTTTAAGATATCAGTGACTTTTGAGTATGACATATATATATATATATACATATACATATATATATATATAATTATATATTATATGTATATTATATGTGATATATATAATTATATATATATATATGTATATGTCATTATTTTTTAATTCGAACACCTTTTTGTAAACTAATTCGAAAGCCATTTATGTATTGTTTCCCACACAAAAACTAATTGTTGAATTAGTTAGTTATGTATTGTATATGTGTATGCACCACTACGAAGTTTGCGGGAAGTTGAGATTTTGATATTTATTAACATTTCCACCAGAATAACTTAAACATTGCTAGTTAAATTTTAACAGTGTTGTAAAAATGTTCATGCTGTTTTTATTTGATAATATTTTCCAACGGAAGTCGTTCGAGTTAAATAATGATCTATAATATGTGTATGTATAGTATATAAAGTCACAAGGCCAGTACACACAAGATCGTGCAAATATGTTTTTGTTTTTATAAATATGGTGGTAACAATGTGTAGTTATAATATCCACTTTTGTACAACATGTTTAGCACATTAAGCAACAACGGTTCTGAGACTCTTTTCCACATCTTGTACAGGTTGAGCTTAAAATATTATATGCACTTTTCCTTAATTCCAGTTCAGCTGATGATGCGCAGATGATTAAATACATAAAATCACAAATAATCAAAATTTTCCAGTATGTTTACAATTCAAAGATCAATAAGAAATTTGTTCACTTATTTTTGATGCATTTAGTTAATTCGTTATAGAGAGGCAGAAAAATATAACTGGAAAATGCTTTAAGCAGTTTATTACATGACATTACACGTGTTAATAACACAGGTAATTAAATTTAAATAATTTGATTTTGCCTAAAACATATAACCGATTGTAATGGGATCCGTTTGCGTAGATTTTGAACCCGTACCCGTAGTTCCTTTTAATAGAAAACGCGGAAGTTTAACCTTGAAATATTATAATAATGCTAAATTACGAAATAATTAACTTCTTTGGCGCACGCTCATGTAAAAAAAAAACTGATTGAATTTCTGTATAGTATTTGTACCATAATTTTAAGATTTTATATTTGTAACACAAGATTCCTCAATTTGTATCTGAGTTTTATAAAAGATTGATGATATATGGGGGTTCCTCAATTTTTAGCACCAAGCCACATAATGTCTAAGGTATAACATTCGGAAATCATTATATTAGGAATGTAGTTCTGAATCAATGGTCATCACAAAAAATCCTCATAACTACATTAAAATGTTACCCATATTGTCCAATATATACAATATTAAGTCAAACGGATTTTCGAAAATAAATTAAGTATCTAAGGACTGGGGGAAATACTGAAACGATTATACCCATTCTAACCGCTAGGAGAAGATGCCAATTCCAATTTCGAAAATTTGAAACAATAAATTTTTTATTGCTAAAATCTAAGAGCAGATAAATACAAATGTAAATATTGTATTATGTGAGATCTCATTAATACGAGTATAATATAACATAATTTATCGTTATACACCTCCGTGTTTTGTTATCTTGACACTCATATGACGGATGAATTCGCTCAGTATTGTTGTGAGTAGGGTGGATGTACATATAATATAATATTAAAGTTGAGGGATATAGGTATATATACAAGTATACCTATATATATTTTGTGAGTTATACATTTACATAAGTGAATCCATTTAGCAATTTAATTAACTAAATGTTAAAATTACTTTTTAAAACTGAACAGAAAATTAGTCAGAGTTTAAACGTTTTATAAATTATTGCGAACCAGATTTTTTAGCTGTTATTCCGTTTGTTTTGATCATTTTTGCTTGTGTCCCTAAACTAATTTCCTGCGCAAATAACTCCGTGTTGCATTCCTAATGATTTCCTCATACTAATTCGAGAATATCAAGGTAACTTTTAATGATTTTTTCATAACTTTAGGAATATCCTTGTAATCTCTGTTTGACAGTAATATTGAAGGCAATTCATAAATCGTTTGTTACGGGTGGCGATTTGCAGCAAAAACGTTGTCATTGTGTCGCGCTAGGCATTGCGCGCTGTGAAGGGTCTATTTTTGTGCATCATTTATGCAGTTATCTCACAAATTGTCCAATATATTCCGCATAAAATCGCTAGAGTAACCGAGAAAGAAATGAATGAGAATTCGATGTTTTTAACTATGTTTCAAATGAAAGCTGATAAAAACAAGTAAGGAAGTGTAACCGAACATTTTATACTCTCTCAATAATATATTGATTATATGAGGAAAAAGTCAACCAGAGAATAGGAAACCATTATATTAGGGATATGGGGTTTAGACGAAGGAGAAGATCGATGTGATTCATAATCAGCGCTAAGTCACACAATGATTAAGCAAATATGTCCAATTTAAACTGTCATTAAAATATGGCCACATGGTTAACAGTCAGCTGGAAAGTCGAAATCATGGAAGCTTGAAACTCGTATATTAGGTGTATGAGGGCTAGGGGTAGTATTGACCCGATTTTTTCCCATTTTTAGCACAAGGGCACATTATTATTAAGTAAAAATTCCTCTGAATTTCTATAATGTATCTCATAGATTACCAATATTTCCGGTAAAACCCAGATATAGGCACTGAGGACCACATTTCGGTACGTGGGAGTTTCAAAATTTATGGTCAGATTTCGATGATTTTTTGATATAGATATAAGATTAAACTAAACATAGGCAGTATCACGCACATCTACCAGTTTTTACACAATTTTGTTTATTTAGTGACTTATCGCTATTTTAATAGATTTCACAAAATTGTTTATGGGGAGAGAGGTGGGGGAGGTTTATCATTTGATTGCACCCATTTTTGGATTGTCTAAGGATCGGCACCTGCTGAACAATTTTGGTCGATATAGCTTTAGTGGTTTGTGAGATAGGTACAGTAGACGTATTAGGGGTAATACCATCCCCATTCTTAAAACTTTTCAAATTATAGATGCTCCTCCCTTCTACATATATCAAATAACAATCTGCTATTTAGATATAACATTTTATAAGTTTCCGATTAACGAAATTTTGTGGGCGTAGCAATGGCCCGATTCTGCCCATCTACTATAATAACTTCCCGGGGGCTGACTGTCCGCCCGGTCGTCTGTACGTACAAGCGATACCTTAACTAAAAATTGTAACATTGTTAAAATTTGGTACATGCATTTCTTGGCGCCCTCCGGAATTCAACCCGTCTCTTCATTCTGATCATTTACATACATATATTTAACTTTATATCTATCTCGATTAGTTTAAGGTGTTACATACGACCGTTTGAAAAAAACATCTATTATACTCTGTGCAACATGCTGCTAGAGTATAAAAATACAAAAACACACATACATAACTGACAAGCAATTTTTATTTGCATTCACAGATATTTTCGCGTTCGAAGCGTATACATATAAAAATTCACTAAATCTTTCCTCTTAAAAATTATGAAATATTTTTGTAACATACTATCTGCCGAAGTGTCAACGTAACCAATACTTCGAAAATCGATATATTTGATGTATGAGCACTAGGCGAAGTACTAAACCGATTTTATCAATTTTTGCACCAGGCGACACTAATCACATGTCTATAATAATTGGCCAATAATTTCAGTTTAAAGTCAGCCATAGGCATTAAAATTATACTATTATACTCTGTATCTGGGGCTTGGAGCGATATAGTCCGAATTCGACCATTTTAAGTGAAGATAATCTTACTTGTGTTGAGTTCTATTTTAAATTCTTCAATGATTTATCTGTTGTATATGGAAAGAATCTTGTGTAGTTATTGGACTAGGTTTTTTTCTATAACTGTTAAAAATTAATTAGCAACTGGATGTTATGTTTTATTGAGACTTTTGAAAACACAAACGAAACGAGTTATTTTAATTGAGCCATATTAAACATTATTGCTCGAAAAAGGGTTTGAAGCAAAGACGCTGAAAATCTACTGAACTTATGCCATGTTACTTGAAGTCCTTTCGATACAATTTTTTTGTCATAAAATTGACACTAGTAAATCATTAAAATTAATATTTTGGATTGATTACTACCCAGTACTGTTGACAGAAGGACGTCTTGCAAATTGCGACAAATGTTGAGTGCTATCGGTCAGATAATATTTCATTCTATTTGTAGTATTTTACTTAAAGCGTACTCTAATGATAACACAGTAGAATGGAATTATTTACAAAACAACAAAATTCCGAAGATAAATATTTTAGGTTAATTTTGAACAGAACTAGCAATCGCTATTTTATTTCATTTAGAACCGTTGGCACTTACTTGAGCTAAGACTATGATCAAACAGGCACCTAATTGGCAAATACGAAAATTCCAACACTTTTACAATTAATTGTTACAAAAGAAAAATTGCATAAATTTAAATTAAAATTATATATCATTGGATGTGAAAATTAATGCACAAAAATCAGAAATTGAATTAAACCATATTAGTTTACAGTAATACATTTTAAAAAAATATATGTACATATGTAAAGTAACAGTGAAAACATTAATATAAAAAGTATTAAACACCGTTAAAATTTCCCCGTACAAAATTTTACGTCTACGAAGTTAAGCGTAGTCAGAATTACCAAAAAAACTATTTTTTTTTTAATATTTGAGAAATATTCTCACAGAATTATGAGTTTATTTGGCAAATAGTTATGGGGATATGAGCGTATTTGTAAGAATTTTTTAACTTAATGTAACTGGCTCCCAAACTTTAAATGCGTTTTTCTCAAAACTATGATTTTTGAAGTGGTGACCACTATAGCTCGAAAACCGCTCGGTAGATTTCAATGAAATGTATACAGCTTTTTGAAAACATGAAAACTAACTAGTGCCTGATTGAAGGATTTTTTTTATTTCGATTTTTATTAAACAACTAACTGTTGCTCTTTTCACGAAAATCTGGAAAAAAATTTGTAAATTAAGAAAAGCTTCGACTAGGCACTATCTATTATCTATTAATAAAGCTACTTTTTTTCCCGATTGATTTTAGTTGAATCTCTAAGGATTAGTGATGGTCAACGCAAAGAGCTTCGGTTGGAACTGGACCAACACAAACAGCCATTACTATTAAAATTATTATATTTTTAAATGTCTGCCAAGTGAAGTCGAAACCTTCTTAAATGATTCTATATTTTCCTTTCTTTGACTACACCTAACCCCGTAAATGAATGGAAATTCTGATACCAATTGCGTAGTTAAGTCCCCGCTATAAAGGGCAAAAACCAAATTGCTGAGATAACATATTTGGCCTGTTTGAACATAATATATGTATTTGAATGTACCTGCAATCAATGTTTGTCAGGGATGTTTAACTGCAATAATTTCATGTAATAGGTATGTAAGTGTTACCGACTTCAAACAGAAACAACAAACCTTGAATAATTCTGTGAATTAAAATTGAAATGCTACTCTATGTTTAATATTCAAAAGGGGCACAATTAGATCGCTTTGCAAATTTTAAACATCGATAAAAAAATAACACACACATATATGAAGTAAGTGTATTGTATATAATAGATAAGCAGATAGATTTGATAAATAGTAGATAAAAAACAGATATTATTAGTGACCTTACTGTAATTATAATTTAATTACTTCGTATGCTTCGATAGGAGTACTTTGCTTGAACTTATGCTTTCATTTTAATGAATTTAATTGAAGTTAAAGCGCGACTCTGAAATTAACTACAAATTAGCAATTACACTTTTGGTACATACGTTGGTTACGTTAGTTTTTTTTGTTTTGTTTTCTTATTTGTTTTGTTTTTCTTTCTTCTTTTAGGCTTTTACGTGTATGGAAGTATAGTATAGTATATTAGTACAAAGTAGTATTAATTTATTTGCGATGATTGCAGAAGTAGTTGTACTGTCTTAATTGTGATTGGAATTAATCGAGGAAGTATCAAAGGCAAAAGAAGAAAAAACAATGGTGGCAGTAATTAGTCGCTGTATTGATTGCTAGTGATGATCCAATTCAATTTAATACTTTATGTCTTCTTTTTGCGCAATGTAAATTAATTGCTTATGTAGATAACTTTTTCCATAAAATGCATTAACTGTACTCGGATCATATATTAACTCTCATTATTTGTATTTATGTTTCGGCACATAGTATCTGATATTTGTTTGCTTTGATGACATTTAATTATCATGTTTTTTGTTTTGTTTAATTAAAAATCAGCACCTGTCCTGAGGATGATGTTTGCAAATATGAAGATACGTCCGTCTCAATCATGCAGCTTCTCAGTGTCTCAGGTATAAACATGCCCTGCGGCACTTTTCCACACCTTATTCTCGACCACTTGTTTTCTTTCGTAATTACAATTATTAATATGTTAGTTGCTCAAAAACAATTATTGCTCAGTTAAAATCCAAACGGCTTTGTACGGTTTAAATGTCTTGGCCAGCTAACTTCGCCTTTATACATACAAATGTGTATGTATATTAATTGGTTACGTTCGGATTTCCTAAACGGTTGGTAGGAAAGTTAAGGAAATAAATGGATTATACAAAATAAAAAAAAATTAGTAAAGAAAGTACATTTTTTTAATGCATAAATTATCCATCTCGAAGATGAGAAAGACTTTTTATTGAGACTTAATATAACGGTTTTTTTACTTTAACTCGAGCACATTTTTTATAATTTATTAAGTTTTACCACTTTCTTATAAAAAAAAAGTTTCAAATCCTTCTTTATTTTATTTTCATTGTTTTTTAGTTTAGCTATATCTGAATACCATACATTATAATAATCTTTTAGATTATTAAAAGTTGAAAAAAAAACTATTTTGCCAAAATTCAAAAATTCATATCTTTGAAACGAAAAAGAACACCCCTCTAAAAATTTAGAACTTCTTAAGATATGTTAGAGGTATAACATAAAAATTTTGAATGCAAAAACTTTAGCGCGATGGTTACTTTTTACGGTTCTGAAAAATTCAAAATTTTATAATTTTGGTAATAAGTATCCTCTGAAAACTCACCAGCGTTCTTTGTTTAATATACAATAGTTTCTGATATATTAAATTAACAAACTCATAGTGAAATTTTCAATAGCTCTTAGGAAAAATGTTTCTTTTAGCAGAACTTCGTTTTATAATAAAACAAAACTTTCCACCAAAATTTATTCGAATCGGTGGGGGTCGCATCAAACTATTTGTCGATTTGACATGGAATGGCCCATATAACAAGTAAGAAAGGGCTATGTTCTAGTGTAACCGAACATTTCATACTCTTGCAACTTGCTAAGAGCAAAGCCCGGTAAATACCTTTAGGTATTGGCAAAACTTAACTCACATATTTGCCGATATATGCGGTATAAAGACAGCCGGAAGTTAGAAATATAGTAATAGAATTATTGATCAGATTCAACCCATTTTTGAAAAAAAGACATACTATTATCAGAAAAAGTTTCTTTTCGAATTTCGCTTATATGTTTATCTCATTTACATTAGTTTTGGTCCGATTTGGACAATTTGTGGTCATAAGGTGACAATCTCAAAGGCACTATTCATGCAAAGATTTATCCGGATACATTGGCGTAGGCGTGGTTTTTGTCTGATTTCGCCCAATTTCACGTTGTTATATAGGAATGTAAGGTAATATTACTTATCGAATTTGGTTAAAATCGGTGGAGTAGGTCCCAAGATATGGCTTTTCACCGAAATGTGGGCGGTGTCACGCCCATCATCCAAGTTTGATACAGGCTGCTATAAAGCCCTCTCGTACCATCTCGGGTGTAAAATTTTATTTCTCTGGCGTATTTATCAATAGATTTATCGCACTTTTAGTAGCTTTTAACAAAACTGTTATAGTGTACAGTGGGCGGGGTTATATTCCGAATTCACCTATCTTCACAGGGTGGGTGGGAAAGAAGATTTCAGGAAAAGGATTTGTCCTGAGAGAATTTGGTTATTATAGATTGAATAGTTTAAGAGATATGCACATTAAAGGTATAAAAGGGCGTGACCACGCCCACTTTTTAAAAATTTTTTTAAGCATAGATGCTGGGTAAGTTTTCGATTAATGGCGTTTTGTGGGCATGGCAATGTTCTGTTCTACGAATCTGCAATACCAGCCCTCCTTGGGTGCCAAATGACATATGTATCAAGTTTCATCAAGATATCTCAATATATATTCAAATTATCGCTTGCACGGACTGCCAGACGGATGGACACACAGACAGTCGCTCGGAATTCAACTCGTCTCGTTTCATATATATTTATATATATATAACTCGATTAGTTTTTGGTGATACAAACAACTGTAAGGTGAACAAAACTATTATACTCTGTAGCAAAATGTTGCAGGAGTATAAAAATTACGTGTCACGTTTTCTCCGGGGAAAACTCCTAAACTATTGAACCGAGTTTAGTAAAATTTAACGCACTGTGTCCAGTTTGATCGAACTTACTCCAAAACAATTTATAAATAAAATATATATATTTCCGAACGTAAGCATCTAATCAAAATTAAAAAAAATTTATATATTATTGTAATTTTGGGTAAAATGCCAAATTAGTTTATTATTTATTTTTATTATTATTTATTTATTTATTTATTATTTTTTCCATTGACAAATATTTGTATCAATCATATTCATAATCAAACATCGAGTACAATCCTTTGGATTCTTTTACTGGCAATAATAGTATTAAATGTACACTTTATAGTTCTATTAAATCCTGTTACAAAGCTGGACATTGCGAAAAACAATCTAATGAGGCTGACTATTCATATTAAATTTAAAATTAAAACTACTTCTCTATTACTATTATATACTTGTAGGTATGTTAATGGTACATATTTAATAGTGCAGTATGAAAAATTAATTCAATATGAGTCGAGTCACTTCTCTTTTTTTCCGTATATGCACCTTCGCAATACCGCGCTCCGGTTTATATTAGGTTCAATTCTCTTTTTTTAGTGTTGGTTTTATATGTACATTTTTTGACAAGAAAGCAAACCCCAAGGATAGAGAGCAGAGAAATGGTATGACTGAAAAAATGCCGAATTTAGTGGCCTCGAACTGTTGCGAACAAGAACACAAAGAATGTTGTCAGAGTACGACCAAATCATAACACTTCCCCTTTTCGCTCCGTTCCTCTGCCGCAACGAGTTGCCGAGTTATTATCTTGTTTTGTTTTGATTACGCATAGCAAAGAAAGGGGAATAAAGTGAAGCTAGCTATGGTTCGCTCGATTTCGGTCATTCTCATTGAAATTTGTTATTTTTTTTTTTATAAAACTTTGAATCAAGTATATATTTGCATATCTATATTATTTTATCTATTCACTCTCAGCTGTCAAATATTCCCCAACAGTCAAGAGTTTTATGTTTATCTAAAGTTTCTATGTTATGATATTCCTAAAAAACAAAAAAAAAAGACGTTAACTTCGGTTATTACGAAGCTACAAGTATAATACTCTTCACAAATAATAAGTTTTCCATACAAGTTGCTTTGGACAATAATCCATGACGAATTTCGTGCAGATATCTTCTGAAATAAAAAATCTTTCCACGCAAGGGCTTCATTTTGATCGTTCACTTTATATGGCAGCTATATGCTATAGTGGTCCGATTTAAAAATTGGTTAGGAGATTGGGCAATAATACTTGTCAAATTTCTTGAAGATAACTTTTCAAATGAAAAAGTTTTCAATACATGCACTTCATTTTGATCGTTGGCTTTATATGGCAGCTAAATACATACCCAATAGTGTTCCGACAAATGTGCAGCTGCTTGGAGAGAAAAGGACGTGTACAAAATTTCAGATAAATATGTCAAAAACTGAGGGGGTATATACAGACGGACATGGCTTACGTCACGGGATCATTTATACACATATATTTTGTAGGCTTTCCAAAGCTTCCTTCTGAATGTTACAAACTTATAAACATAATACTTTATAAACATAATATACCCGGTTCAGGGTATAAAAAATGTTAAAATATCTTTGGCCTTGTAATTGTCACATTATATACAGACTATATTTTACATATATTATGAATCAAACTAGTGAAACGTTTACTATCGAAATCAACTTCCTTTCCTTCTTTAAGATGAGGCATCAAATAACTATACACCACTAGACATTGTTATTTAGTACCGTTTATATCAAAGGCATTTCTTTAATTGCAACTTATAATATATAATTGATAGTCGAAAGTTAAATTTAAAAGTCTTTGCTCGTTTCCGGATATTGAAAATATTAGCTACATACAAGTATGAATATCGCAATAATCGGGCTTTTATTCGTTTTCTTTCTCATGCTCAAAATGGAAAACTCAGCATTTCTAAATGTACATAATCCAACATACATACTCACCGTTAACAGTATAGTCTTGTTCGAAAATGGGAAGACGCAGATTCATCAGATAGCAATGCATGTTTAAAGGACATTTCTGCTTGTTATCTGATATTACTTGTAATTTTTTAAGTCAAGAACTGCTAGCTAATCCATTTCATTACATCATCATTTGGAGTATTTTATATTGTTTTTCATCTATTTTTATTGTCATACCGATATCCCGATATTTTTATTTGTAGTTTTTGTATGCTTTTTATGTTTAAGTCTGCATCCGGCAAACTAGTATGCATTAGGAACTAAGAAAAATGCTTGTTGATTATAATTGTTGTAGATGATAACTCCCAACAAAATCGTGAATGTGGCACATAAGTGCGACAATTACACATATTTCAAAGTAACTTTCGAGGCATGATATTTGGTTTTTTTGGCACCGGTCAATCCGTCGAGCATTACAAGGAAAATAACCTAAAAAACATATATACATACCTAAAAACTGCACACATGACAATGTGAATAAGAATATATTTACTTGATGGTTCAATAGCGTCGAATATACAGTTTGCAACAAAAACATTGTATGGAATTAATGAAAAATGTAATACATGTATATACATATACATGCGCTGCATATAGAGTGCCACTGGCCCACAAGCATTCTTCTAAAGGGTAGAAGAGAATTATTTTAACACAAAAACATCTAAAAAAAAATTAAAAATTATTTGATTTCTACTCTACAATGCTCCGAGTTCAGTAATAATTGCAAAAATATTGCTATTTATAAATCGTTCATTAAACTTTTCAACGCATTGTTTTTCTCTTTCATTTCATTTATTATGAATGTAAATAACATGTATGCCAATGTTCAAGCGAGAAAATTAACAACGGATCATATAATAAGTACTTGCCCGAATTATTTTTTATGTTTTGGATTTCGGTTGAATGTTTATGTTTGTGTTATACAATTTAGTTTTCTTCCTTTCTGGCTCAGATGGATTTTTTAACGCTTTTATTTAGCATAGTATTAGTATATACTTCCCGACCGACCTGCATTCATAAAAACTTAAACTTAACCTTAAGAGTACCCAACGTTTATTTTTTAACTGTTTTATAAATACACAAAGTGTCCTTTGTAAATTACTCGTATAATCATGTGAAAATTTCGGGAAACTAAAACGTAGTAACCTAACACATTCACACAAACACTTGCACAGTTGACGTTATCCGTCATTTTATATATTTATTTTTGATATTATCTGCTCATTACACAATCTAATGTAGTGTTTGCAACTAAAAAAGAAAGATAGAACAAGGTGGTGGTAGCGGCGGCGGCGTTTTAAATATAGAAAGCAAAGAGGATAATTTCGTTAGGCAAACACGTCGCGCCGCCCACAATTCAGTGTTGCAGACTGAATGCAAAAACGGTCAAAGCCTGACAACGGGCTGTTTACAATCGGAATGCGTGCATGTGTACTTACATATGAAACTATATGTACAAATGTACATATTTATGCAAAAATTATGTATATTCACATATACTTATGTAAGTACCTACGTACATACATATATACATATATGCGGAAAATTGTGCAGTAAAATTCGAAATAGACTTAGCAGTACCTCAAAAAACTACGTGCAATGCAAATGTGATTTGTATTCATACTAATAAACAATATACAACCATTTTTCCCTTCCTTTACTTATATTAACAATGTCCCGAGGTATATATGTATTGCTTTAAATGTTCTCAAAGTAACACGACAGAGCACCTTTACATTAATTTTATAACTTTAAAAAAAGTCTCTTTTATTATTTTATTTATATCGTCTCACAATATTAAAATAAAAACTTGTCAACATAACTAAACATATTTAATATCCATAATGTGAAAATTTATTGAAGCTAAACATCAAATGAAACGAATAACACAATTGGATAAAATATTCGTCTACTTTCTATGATTTTGCGCAATACTTGCCCAACGTTAGTTACTATCATGTAAAATCAAACCACTTGCATACATATGTATTAGTATTACATGATTTAAGTACTCCAATTTTGCAAAGAGCAACAACTTCAGTATTTGGCTTGAAACAAATGGCTTCAAAGTTCCATACAAGAACCTGATTTTGATCGTCCAGTTTGTATGGCAGCTATATGCTATAATAGTCCGATCTAAGCAATTACGGAGATTGTACCGTTGCCTTGGAAAATAATTTATGTAAATTTTCGTGAAGATATATTTTCAAATAAAAAAGTTTTCATTAGCAGAACTTGATATTGACCGTTCAGTTTGTATGCCTATAATACATAGTAGTCCTATCCAAATAATTGTTCGGAGATTTTAGCGTTGCTTTGGAATTCAGTTTAAATGTTGTATATATTTTTCACGAAGAAATTTTTAAAATATCAGCAACTATTCGAACGTGTTTCGGGAAAAAATTGGTTTGCGGTGGCTTTTCATAACTAGGTAACGCCGAAAGGATTTTTTTAAATACCAATTTTGAAAACTTTGAAGAAACAAACTCAATTTTAAGTAAAATTCGGCTAATAAGTTATTGTAAGATATTATACAATTAAAGACAAACTAAAAAATTTTTAAAACACAATTATAAATATTGTATTAACAATCTATGTTCATTCTTAAAAATTATTTCATAACATAAAAATGTGAAAGTAAATATTTCTTAAGAAAATTATAGTATATAAAGAACAACGATTTTTCATTCAGTTAGAAGCGTTCATAAATAAATAACAAGTAAGGAATGGCTTTGTGCCAAAGTAACCGAGTATTTTATACACCTGCAATTTGCAAGAATCAAAGCCAGGGATCATATTTCGTATCTCACTAACTAACTGATTAAATCAATATAAATATATGTACATATATGATACATACTCATTAAAAGAAGGTCTCGACTGATTGCGTTAAATTGTGACAATAATGAAGTTTATTCGGAAACATGTCTCCGTGTCTTCTAAAATAACGAGCATCATTATTTGTGGTATATGATACCTGAGGTAATTTGTTGACCAATTTTACTCATTTTATGCATTTAACTATAATATAACATATTCAATATTATACATTCACAAAAGCAACCGGAGTGTGAAATCTTTACAAGTATATTGGGTATATGGGTCTAGGGGTAGAATTATAGTTTTTGGTCCATTATTCCTGTTATTAAGTAGAGACGCTATTTTAATTTATTTGTGATATATCACATATTATCTGCTATAAAGTCAACCGGAAATTCGAAAACCTTCTTAGCTCAAGAAAATTTTAGCAACTTATAAAAGTAAATATAGATACGCATTCATGAATAAAGGACTTTAAATAAACCGCCGCAAACACAACAAGAAAGTATTGGAAATAAAACAAAACGAATAAAATTATGCGTAACATGTAAGTCAGAAAATATAGTAATATTTATTAGAGATTATATATTCTTCATTAAGAGGTTCATGCAACAAGGCTACGGTTAATAAAGAAAAGTTAAATAAAATTGCAGGAGTTAGCTTAATTTAACGGAAAGCAAAATAACAAACTAAACTGATGTAAATAAAAGTAAATTATACTTATGGAATTGGTTAGCAGATGTTATTGTATACGTATTTTTGTAGCTAAAAATCTTAATAGAAGGGAACGATCTGCTATGGAACAGCATAACATGGTTACAATTGAAATATTGGAAAACTTACATACGAGAGATGGAGATCTAAAGGGCGGCAGCAGAATTAGGAAGAGACTGAGACTATTGTTTTTACAAATAACAGTAAGATCTAAAGGCTGCGTCAGATGTACTTCTACGTCAACGACGGAAAAGTATGCGAACTAAGTGGCTCTACGTAACGTAGAGATTGCCACAACGAATTCCTTGCAAAAATAAACATAAATCAGCTGTTCTTAATTACCGGCAATTATTTCGCCAGATAATTTGAAGATATTTGCTTAGCCGATTTATTCTATTATACCTTTTGTCATACAGACAAGGATGCATTCGCACCAAGAATGATAGAATAAAAGATTACGCCAACCTCTTCTCTTGTCACGCATTTCTTTTAAGATGACAAGAAGAAGCATCGAACAGCATGTTAATTGTAAAAAAACACGTCAACATTCTTGTTACACGTTAGTCACTGTCAGCTAATTTCTGGTAAACTTTACCGAAAGAAGGGGTCTTAGTTAGTTTCTAAGCAGTCAGCTGTATAATCTATAAGCATAGACGGAATTCAAACGGGGATTCTTTTGTCACTTATTATCATTATTTATTAAGCATATTTGCATTCCTACCAAATATGCATATTCCATGCAAAAAAAGGGTAATCATATTTAAATATCCGAACATAAGGTAAATATTCCTTTGAAACCGAGCGCTGCTGTAACTATGAAAGGAATTTCTAAATTAAAAAGAATGCTGAATTGCGTAGCAGCGGGCTGTTACGGAAAATAACACTAAGCGTGCCACCCAAGCACGAGCGGCACGGTCTCTTCGTCTTTCCTCGTCGTCCCATCTCCAACGAAAACCGGTTTGGGTGGAAAAAAGAGTCTTCGTCTGAACATACACATACATGGTTCATTACGTTTACACAGTTTTGCCTGTTCCCAATGCAAGTTTTTGTGAACTGTTTTCGCCACGCATTCAAAATAATCGAACTTTCTGTAGGTCAGCTAACCACAACTTGGTGAAAACGGTTCTGTCAGTTAAAGCTATCAACTAGTTAACCAACCAGCGGTTAAGGACCTTAATTTATTAGTTTACAATGAAAAAGTTTAATGAAATTAATAAAATAATGTTGCGTGAACATATTGGGGTAAAACGAAATCTGATAAACAAAATTTAAGCCCAGAAAATTTCGAATCGTGCTAAATAGAATATTTTCAAACCGTGTTAAATCAAAACCGTGTAAAAACAGAATTAGGTGTAAATTCAAATAAATACAACCTACGCAATCACAATCTCTTTTAATCATTCACTTTATTGGCAATTATGTTGCCAATAGATAAATGTATTTATTTGAATAACGCGCAAATATTTTCATGCAACATTATTCTATTCATTTCACTAAAACTTTTTTACTATAAACTAATAAATTATGTATATTTCACGAATTAACAAAAGTGTTCACTTTTACGTTTACAATTTACATGCTGTTCTATGCTTCTTCTTCTTATCTCAAAGAAATTACGTCAAAAGATGGCGGTATAGTGCGATTTGTTTTAGTTACAATTTTCACAGCCTAAGCCGTTTCGTTACCAGATTCTTCTCCTGCAGAGTACACATTGTCAATCTTTCGCTCTCCATATAAATACACACGTTCAACTCAGATGTCAGTTGCATACTTTTCCCAGGGATAAAGGAATGCCGAACTTATTCCAGTGTGAGAGCGCCTCAAAATTAGCCTTAACATTTATTAAGCTAAAAAAATGGTCCATCAATTCGGTGCAGTGCCGTCAAAGTCCCGGCTGAATTTCCTTTACACTGTCCAAACCCTCTTTTCGGTATCCTAAACATTCATTTTTAAAAAATATAAATAATAACCTGCCAAGTATAAACAGAATCTCCCAGAAAAAAGTTATTACGGTTTGTTTTTGTAGCACGAAGGCATGACATCACAAACGATTTCATTACATACATTTCTCTCTTTTCCAATTGCGAAACGTCAAAACCTCCGGAACTCAACTCAACTGTCAAAGTTCAGGAAGTGATTTAAGCTCTCACTTTCAATGACATAACAGTTGAGCATCTCTTTATCTCTGTTTTTCGGAATCAACGTACCCATTCTGACACCGCCTTGATTTAGTATACAAAAAATTAACAAACTACAAATCAATAAAAACTGGACCTATAAAATACGGGTTTCGTTCAAAAAGCATTAAAATTTTTAGGTTTTAACTTTACTTTTGCAAAAAAGGTGAAATTTACAAAATTTTTGTAAGGTGTAAAGAATTATACTGGAAAAGATCCTTAAACAGGGGCCCAACGTGATGGACATCTTCAGATGTAATTATCCTCGGTCAATTAAGACTTTAATAACGCTGTTGTTCACTTCCCCAAAAAGGTATTTGGGAAATCTTTGAATAACTTTATATGATATGGAGGCGATAGCGATGGTCGCGAATAAATACTTGTTGGCAGGATTTTAACCCGGAGTGGACGAATATTTTCTGTTTCGCATGCCAAGCGGTGTCAACTAGATCTAGTAGGTCTCGCATACATAAACGTAGTTGCTTGACCATATCCCCTTCGCTGGTTGTCGGTTTTCTATCTAAGAAAAATTCTGAAGGTAGCCGCAGGTTCTCGTCATAAACGGCTGGAGCTGCGTCCAAGTGGTGGTAAGGCGTAGTACAAAAATGACTAGTACCTAATAACTGTAATAATTGTTAAAATAGGGCGCTTTCGAGCTGACATCGTAAGTCTGATGTGATGGTCACAGGTACACCAAACCGAGAGATTTAACCATTCAGTAGCGCTTTGGAGATAGTTGGTGCTGTTATATCTGGTATAGGTAACGCTTCCGGCCAGCGTGTAAATCTATCAAAGATAGTAAGACAATAGCGATTTTCTTCAGATGGTCCAACAAGGTCGATATGAATGTGCGCGAACCGAAATGTTGGACATTTTTGATGCTGTAAAAGACTTCGGTTGTGTCGTATAGTTTTATTACGCTGACACTGTAAACAGCAGCGAGCGAAATTTCTGCTATCTCGCTGGACACCAGCCCAAACAAATCGCTCTGTTACCACTCATGTAGTCCCTCTAATATTTGGATGTGAAAGATTGTGAGTTGACCGTAAAAACGTATAACTAAATTTGGAACTAAAAGGAAGAGCGAAATTTTGTAGGTTAAGACAGAGCTTTATGTTACCATTTAAAAGTTTTCGAAACTTCTCGTCATTGGATTGGTACTCAGCCAAGTTATCATAGTTCAAAGTTTCTGCGTGACATACTTCGTATGAAATTAGTGTGTTCAATTTACCTTTGTTGCCTGACGGGTCACCACATGTGCGAATAAGTCTAGATGCGTCATGTTCGACTTCCAATCGCAGAAGAGATTTTTGTATTATTTGTTAAAACTTAAAGGGCTTATAAGAATGTAAAAAAGGATTAAAAACATATGTATGCTAGCTAGCGTTGCAATTTAGTAGTTAGGTAGAGTTGTATTTTAGGACTGCTGCGCCGAAGATTGAATTAACGCCGTAATGATCCTAAGAGGTTGCCACATACATATATCCAGTGCAAGTATATATATACATAGATTAGCAGCAGGCTAACACTTTAACTTAAGTGTTTAATCAATAATAAATCTTCAAATTAATATTTTTTATAATTTAATTAATATTGCAACCAACAAAGAGAAGTGTTTTTTATAAATTTAATTCATTTTACGAATCTATATAACAATTTAAATAACAAGCATAATTGTCACAGCAAAATGAAAATTTGATTAACCCATAGACAATTTTTTCACCCTACACAACACAGGAAAATATGTTACTTGTTGGCATATTGCGATTACGCATATGGTGATGAATACATACATATACTGTACACTGTTATAGTCCGCTTGATGTATTGGTTCACGTGAATAGAAGCATCTACT